CTAGTGACAGTTTCTTCATCATACTTACAGCTTTATTGTCTTTATACATTTTAAGTATCAATTTATAATCTTTTTAGTTATATATGGAATGTGAGCTCAAAAATCTTATCTTGTTCTGTGTTGCATTTTTAGCACCTTGAATTTAGCAAACACAGATTTCAGTTGAACTTGTTAAGGAAAATATTTTTTCTTTTTTTAAAAAATTATCTAAGTAGTTACACAAAGAAGGTTCAATTCAAATATCAGTTTATGAGTAAAATACATATTGATCATTATCCCTCCCAAATGATTTAACAAAACACCCTACCTTTAAGCTTTAACTAAATCCTACATATTATTTTTATAGGTAAATCCACTGATTCCTATAATGTTATATTTGGATATAATCTCAGCTATTACCTAACCCAAAGCATTTATTATGCAAATATGAGCTGTTACCTAAACCTACTAAGTGATTTATCCAAACCTATTATGTTGCCTAAACCTATTAAATGATTTATCCAAAGAAAGTGAGCTTCAAGATCAGGACAATTACCCAGGTTGTCTGACACCTAATCCAGTTATTTCTTTCAACAGTAAATTCTGTTACTATAGTAGTGAAAAACTGAAGTAGCTGGCATTTCACAGCAAATCCTCTATTAGGGGAACCTGCCTCTCTGACTAGATATGTTTGTCCTGCAGTAGACATCAGTTTACTCTTGTCTAAGTAAGTTCAAGGTTATTAAAATTAAGAATAAAAAAATGAAGTCTGAGATTCACTTTACTGATGCTGACAGTCATGAGCTTTAAAGATGGGAAACAATGGATACTTGTAAGAAATAAGGCTACAAGTACGGAAATTGAAGTCCAATTGCTCTAGGGGAAAATTAAGACCTTAGGGCACAAGGATTCCAGGAAGCATCTGATTCCTAGGCTCCAGATTTCCAGTTGCCTTCTGCATTGTTGGGTTACTAGGAATCTCCAAGATTCTTCCATTTTCTGTTCCGATAAATTTGAGCGTGTTTCAGTTACACATATTTAATATCTAAAAGGTGTTATAGAAGCAATCTAAATTCCCAAAGTATAGACAAATCAGTATTAAGTCTGTGTTAGGTTCAGGAATGCATTCTATTTATCTTAACATAGGAAGTTCAAATTATTTCCTCTATTGATTTTTAGATTGGGGAACTGAAGTTCAGATACAATCCATTCTAAATCAGAAGGTGAAGGGTTTGAATTCATATGAATAATTTTCAATTAGTTTTATTAACAAATTCAATGTGGTCTAAGTTTCAGTTCCTAAAATGTCCTATAGAATGTTTACATCACCGAGGAGCTTGTTAAAAATGAAGAATCTTGATTGGTCCTGACTTCAGACTTACTGAGACATTATCTGAATTTTCAAAACATCATTATCAGGTTATCTACATACATGAGTTATGAGATGATCTGATCTAGTTGAAACACAGGCATGAGAGAATTAAACTGGATAACTTTGAACCATAGTATCACATTTCAGAAACTTTCTTTCTTTTTTTTTTTTTTTTGTTTTTTGGTTGTGGGGCCTGAACTCTGGGCCTGGGCGCTGTCTCTCAGCTCTTCAGCTCAAGGCTAGCACTCTACCACTTGAGCCACAGCACCACTTCTGGCTTTTTCTGCCTATGTGGTGCTGAAGAATCATACCCAGGGCCTCATGCATGCAAGGCAAACACTCTACCACTGAGATACCTTCCCAGCCCAGAAACATTCATTCTTAAAATGTATAAAGTAATTCCTACCTCACTGGCATTTTTGTGAGTATTATATAAACTTGGATATGAAGGCAACTGCTACAGTGCCTGACATTAGGCTTTTAATAAAAGTTAATGTCCTTCCCTTTCAATATTAGGTAAATACATCATTATTCCCATTGGTGGACAATATTCACACAAAGTAGTATTTTACATGCGTTAGCATAGTGCATGATTTTGCTAATCTTTCTATATACCAGCAGTATTCTTTAGAAGATAAGAAGTTTCATGTACAAAAGCTAAAAGTATATATATATATATGTATATTTACATTATTAATGATAATAATGTATCAAATATTGTACCTATGCTGAAGAAAATACAAAATCTTTTTTTTAAATTTTTTTTATTTTTTTTTTTATTTTTGTCGGTCATGGGGCTTGAACTCTGGGCCTGGGCGCTGTCCCTCAGCTCTTCAGCTCAAGGTGAGCGCTCTACCACTTGAGCTACAGCACCACTTCCGAAAATACAAAATCTTAAGGACAGTCATGAAGTCTTGTATCATGGTAGACTATTAGGAAAAAGAATGCAATCAATTTAAATCCAAATGGAATTTCTCATGGGGAACTTGACAGAGTGATTTTCAAATTAATCCAGATAAACACTAAATAATAGGTGATGAAACAAAAAACAAAATTCAGTAAGGGGTAACAATTTTTAGTTTCAGCATCCTTTAATGAGTTCAAAGAGTGATAGGAAGGGAAGGAAAGAGGAACAGAAGGACAAGGAGAGAGACTGGAAAGAGAGACAGAGAAAGAAAGGACTTTTATTACTTATCTCTACATAACAATTACCCAAAATTTAGCAGATTTAGCAACTTAAGAAAACATTTATTATTTCAGGTGGTCTCTATGAGTAGGACCACAAGAATGGGTGTTTGTAACTCAAGTTTTCTCATGAGTTTGTAACCGGTTAACTGGTGGTGCAGTTGTAGGCTTGAGTATTAGGTGAGTTCTAAAGTCCTTCACATGGCAAAAGAAGGTCTCACATCCATGCATGTGTGTCCTTCGATAAGGCAGTTTGAATGGGATAAGGTTTCAAAAAGCAATCTTTTACCCTTTAGAAGTAATTCTTGGCATAGGTTTACATTTTGACTCTTAGTGGTGAATGTTGAGAGCAAATACCAAGTTTTTTTCCTCTTAAACTCATTTGTGTTTAAACCCAGGAAAGTAAACATTTCTCAGAATTATTTAGCACAGGGCAAGAAAGAAATTGGTCCCAATATTGTCTAATATAGAAATAGAGAAATAGATGGATTCATCTCAGATCTTTGAGGGAAACTATAGGGTCTTTGGCAAGATAAACCTAGGGACTGGTAACTCTGACCAAAGAATTAGGATAGACTTCACAGAAGAGATGTTATACTAGGAAAACCTAACAGATAAGGAATTTTTGTAAAAAAAATATTGCAGTCAGTCATAAAGGGCTCATGTCTGTAATTCTAGCTGCTTAGAAGACTGAGATGTGAGGATTGAGGCTCAAAACCAGAATGGGCAGAAAGGTCTGTGAGATTCTTATTTCCATTTAGCCAGCAAAAAGCCAGAAGAGGTGTGTCTCAAATGGTAGAGTGCCAGCCTTGAGCAACAACAGCCAAGGAAGAATGTAAGGCCAATCGATCACTCTATCTATCTATCTATCTGTCTGTCTGTCTGTCTGCCTGCCTGCCTGCCTGCCTGCCTGTCTATATTAAGACAAAAACTGGGAAAATTATTATGAAAATAATAGGTGTACTCAGACCTCACAAAACTAAATATTCTACCAAAGAGCTATATCCCTAGTCCCAAGGGAGAATTATTTTTTATTTTTAAATACTAAGTAACAACTTATATTCTTGTGAGTGTTTAGATTATCAGTTAGGTTGCTCTTCAAAAGAAAAATAATAGACAAGCTTAGATAATTCTAAAAAAACCTTATAAAATTAAATGTGACAACCTGTTATTTATTGCCTACTAAATATACTTGCTTTATATATTTCTGCATCTTGTGCACAGACATATAGTATTTGGTAATTGATGTCATGCTGTGCACAGAGAAAAATAGCTCGCAAAACTTAATATTCGGAAATAACACAAACTAGTAGAATCTAGTGTTGGAATCCTTCAGCTTATCTCTTAGTTTCAACTCTGTGATGTCCAGGCTGTTTCCTACAGCATGTAATATCTTGGGGTAAGCCAGTTTCCTTCTGGCCTTCCTCTCTTGCAGGTTGAGGCTCTTAAGGTCAGGGAAAAGTCCCCTTCATCTCTGTCTGACTTTAATGCAGAGGAGAGGGCAAGGATGTGCGTGTGTGTGTGTGTGTGTGTGTGTGTGCGCGCGCGCGCGCGTGCTGTACTGCTATGGTAGCCCAAGGCACTGAGGTTTCTCTGCCATAGAGGGGCAGAAGTGCAGAGGTTTCCTTTCAAGGTTGTGTGGCAGCAGAATGCTGGAGATAATGGGAGTTCCAGTCAGCCTCCAATGGGCCAACCAGTGGGCGAGAGAGGGGATGAGATGGGAAAGAAAGAGTCTTTGGACATTGTAACTGGAGGATGAAAATGGCAAATGCTCTTCCTTAACTGGGATCCACTTGCCACGGAGTGCTGAGGTGCTTCTGGCTGAGACTGGAGAGGGTGCGTCCTCCAGACTCGCGCCTTGGCTTCTCACACCTACTCAGCTCAACACTCCCACATTTATCCCTGCACCTGCCGCAGGCATCTCGGGTCCGCAGGGGACCGCGCAGCGCTGCTGCTGCCGCCGCCGCCGGCCCCGCCGCCGCGTCCGGCACATGCGCAGTGGCGACTCTCCCGGAGCCCTGTCCCCTCCTCCGCCGCCTCCCGGTTCCGCAGTCACTTCCTGCAGCTGTTTCCCTGTGAGTCGGAGCCCGCTGACTTGACAGCACCGCTGCGGAGCGGACTCGGCGGCCGCGGGCGGAGAAAGTTGCTGCTGAGAGACGGAGTTGATCCGGCGAAGCCGCTGGGCCGGCGGCCGGCGCCCTGGCCGGAGGCGCCGCGAGACCGACGGCCTTGGCGCCGAGGCCGCGGCGCGCCCTGGGGGGCCCGGTGAGTCCAAGCTGCTGCGAGGCCTGGGGCGGACAGGACGAGTCGCGGGGCTCTGGGGCCGCCGACTGCTTTCCGATTCCGGCTTCCCACTGCCTCCGCGTGACGCTGCGGCGCCGCTCGCTCAGTACTTGATGCGCAGCCCTTGATCCTGGGCCGGGCTGTGGGAGCTCCGCCGCCCCCCGCAGGGCCGTGCACACCTACGTGGATGCGTGTATGTGCTTTCCTATGGGGGCTCCACCTTTCGTGTTGGCATTCCTGCAAGATTAAGGTGTGTGCGTGCGTGTGTGTGCGCGCGCGCGTGTGTGCGCGTGCGTGTGCATGAGTGTGTGCGCGCGTGCGCGCGCACCTCTCAGGAATGTAAGGTGTTTCTTGTGGGTGATGCTGAACTGTCTGTAGCTTTGATCCACAAGTGTAAATGGTTATTGGTCACCGGGGAGACTGGAAAACGTTCGCCAATTTGTCAAGGCCTTTCCTTCCTCAGTTCTCTCAGTTCCTTCGAGCCTTCCCGATGTGACACACACATACTCTGCTGATTATCTTTCTGACTGATGCCTTCTGGTGACTTGAGTATAGTTCCTCTCCTTTCTTTTCCAGAATTCTCAATGAAAGTCTTCCCTAGTTTGCAGAGATGTCAAAACTTGTTTCTGCATTCTGTTCTTTTTCCTCTGTAGATTTCTCCAAATGAGAAAGCGATTGCTTCAATACAGTATGTGAAGAGTAGGCCTCAGTCTAATCGAGAAAACTATGCTATGATAATTTGGTTTCTTTAAACTGGGTACTTCATAGAACCTTGATTTTCTTTAGTATCTTCTCATCCAGTTTCCAAACTAGGACATGAAAACCTATAAATACTTTTTTTTATGCCACTGCAAGTGTAATGTTTTAGAACTGAACAATATTTATTTACATCAGCCTTTAAGTCAGTCTTAAGTCAATGCAACAGCTAAACATATGTTTGGGTCTCTTTATATTCCATTAGTAATTTGTTCTTCCAGTGATGGAGGCTTGATTTTGCATATTTTGGGTTTATGTATTTCTAAATTCTTATTTGCATTGTAGTAATACATGTTGTAATTTTCATGTGATGTCTTATCTGGAAGTTGGCCTTCTGTTGATTGTTACAGAATTAGAAGAAATAATATTGTTATGCTTAGGTACACTTTAAATGTTACAAAGATAAAATACATTAATGGGTAAGTCTATACTGTAATTGTTTTCTTTAGTTCCTCTGGGAAGAAGATCATTTTGTTCTTATGCTTTACAAAAGATCCTTTATTTTGATGGAAACCTGCAGGCACAATTGAGGAGAACACAGGCTGGAATTTCCTCAAGTGGCAGCATTCATAAAACATGTCCAGACGCATTTTGGTGATTGGTGGCATTTGATTTTGTTTATATCACTGATTTCCTTTTTCCATATATTTCAACACAGCCCTGTACCCTTTTTTCCTTATGAGCAACAGTATGTTTATGTTAGTTTAGATCTGAATGACTGTATAAGCATTTTGTGTGGTCTTTTAGCATCACTAATTACTATAGTTAAGTAGTTGATTTTTTAAAAGCTGGTCTTTTAAAGAATTTCCTTAAAAAAATTCTGCTTCCACATTTGCTTTCCAGATATCTTTAATTGAGAAATACTACTAGTATAGAAAACCTGACTTCTTAAATGTTCCACATCTGTATTTTTTGTGGAACAGTTCTAGAACTTGAATCAAGCTTCACTTTTGGCTTTTGGTTGACTCCACTTTTGGCTTTTTGTTTGTTAAAGAGTCTTATGGATTTTTCTGCCCAGACTGGCTTCAAACTGTGATCCTCAGATCGCAGGCTCTTGAGTACCTAGGTTTACAAGTGTGAGCCACCAGTGACCAGCTTTGTATTGCTTTTTATATATCCTGAGAGATATGGGCAGAATACTTCTACTTAGGGTGAAATAATATTTTTATTTTCCTAGACATTGTGATTAATGAAAAGTATTACCTAGATCTATGACTAATAATTCATGATTTTTTGTCCTTAGTTATATTATTTCTCAATTGCAGTAATTACCTCTTTGACTCTAGATCCTGAATGTAGAATTCAAATTGTTACTTAATTGAAATTATTTGGTGCTGTTTACTTAACAAATGGTGTAGACTTTTAGATTTCCAAAACTTATTTGATTCATTTTTATAAATCTACAATTTGCATAATGTGCATATATCCAGGGCAGATGGAAAATTTCAGCAGCTACATTGTAGTTATATTGTATTGACCAAGAAAATATGTTTTAGTATTATTGGAACATTGGGGGAATTGTAGATTTTGAAATAAGAATTCTAATTTCAGTTAGTTAGAACCTTGGGAAGTCACAGGTATGTATGGTTCATTTTGAGAAATTCAGAATTAGAAGATGCCATTTGAGTAGGAGATAAGAACTATCATGAAGTTTAACAGGGAAGAACATACTGGATCTTCTTTGAGGGAATTAGAAGAGAGGGTTTTATTTATTGGAAGAAGGGGAAAGAAACAATGTGTATGTAGACTGAGAAACTGGATTACCAACCTGGATAGTTTGTAATTTACCTACTGAAGGACAGGAAGTATTTTACAGAGGATTTATAAATATAGTCCAAGGCAATATGAACTGCAGGCCCTATGCTGGAGGGCCTGCAGAAAACAGCCTGAGTGGGGAATGCGGTGGTATGGACTGGCAGCCCTGGCTATGAGTACAGCAGCACATCTAAATGTGTATGTTACCAATGGCATCTGTTTCAACTCTGTGTAAGAAACGATAGGCTCAACCTCTCCAGTATTGCTAGTTGGTCAGAAGGAACATTTTAATATTTTAATTTGGAGTTAATTTTAGAGTTCCTTTATATTTTTTGTAGATCTGTGACACAGTGATAGTCTTTTGACTTTGATATTATTTGGATGGAAAAGAGATAGGTACTAAGATTCTCAGAAGGCATAAATATCCTTGAGACTGTTTAAGTATACCTGAGGGATGGGGTCTGGACGAGGTGACCTTTGATGTTTGCTTGACTTATGACTTCTATTTAATTAGCCTTGGATACAATGCTATTAGCGTTCATAGTCCAGAGGGATAGCAGTTGGAGCTGTACCAATTAATATAAAGCCAAATTTATAAAGGCATTTTTCAGTGGTAGAGAACATTGTGTCCATGTGAATGAAGGCGCAGGAGAAGCCAGAACAGCCCAAGCCGCGGCTGCGGGCGATGCCTCAGAGGGCTGGGGGTTCCTGCCGCGAGCTGGGCTCACAGGGGTGAACCGGGTAATGGAGAGGAGGCCTTTGCGGCAGTGTGGACCAGGGACGTAGTCGGCCTGCTTCTGGAAGGTGGATGGGGATGAGTACGACGAGAGCAAGTTTGTGGACAGGGAAGATGGGATGACGGGGTCAGGCCGGGCCCGAGACAAGGAAGCGTGATGGCTGCTCTCCAGGCAGCTGTGAAGAACCCCCGATCAACACCAAGGCAGGCAGTGCTGTCTCGAGGGTGCGCATCTCCTTTAAAGCTAATGACGGTCAATCTCCGGACAAGACTGGTGTGGATCCTCGTGAGGTCTGTTTATAAAGAAAGGCCTTCGAGCCCACCCGACACTAGCAGTGCTGTGCTGTCGCGGTGGCCTGCAGGAGGAGTGGGCCTCGTTCGCGTCTGGACTGCCAGGAAAGCCGCGCAGTCCGCTGGAGCTGGGTCTTGGCCGTGAGAGTGGGCATGCTGGTACAAAGACCAAGGCAAACAGATGCCATCACTGCCCCGCGGCGGCATCTGCTGCCCTCAGCTTTGCCTTCTTGCTTTCTTTTTCACATCTGTAAAGAAGAAAATTACACATCAGTTTTCCTTCGATGAAATTTGGGATAAAATAGAGGAAGCTGTTCGTCGGGAGTGTTTGTCCCCTCATAGTCATTTCAGTGATGTGTATACCAATCTGTATGATTTACATATCAGTTTAATTGTGCAATTTTAACCCCTAGTGACTTGATTTCCTATTACATTATTTTTAACTAATACTGAGAGATCTGATCAGACTTTGAGGCCAGTTTCCTAACTCATCGCTAATCAAGAAATGATTTTTATAAATAAAAAAGTCTCGCAGCTTTTACCATTGGAAAACTGGACCATGCTTCTTATTTAAGCAAAATCTATTTCTGGACGAAGTGGTGAATGAACACCACTACCAATCTCCATCTTGACTTCTGCTGGTCTTCAGATTCTGCTGAGCTTAAGCATGCTGATGCCTTTTAACATCCAGTTATCCTGACTTCTCAACTTGTGGTCACCTAGGGTCCAGAGCAAGGAGTCTTGCTCTACACAAATGTATCTATAAAAGATCAGAACATGTTTAGCACACACATCAAACTTTTGTGTTCTGATAGTATGGTTCTGTTTGGAAACTACTCCAAACCAGAAGGGACATATTTAAAACTCTGGGCAGCCTCTCTGAGTAAAATACTATTTTATGTAAAAATATAGTAGTTGCCTTAAACATTGTGAGGTATACACAAGTATTTAATCTGCCATTTAATATGCCCCATAAATCCCTCAGTTTTCTTCAGGGTAATTGGGATCTCAGAAGATTTGGTTCAGATTCAAACAAATATACATTATGTGTTTCAGCTCAGTGTTTTTCTTAAGAAAATGCCATTCGGCAAAAAATTGTTTACTTTATTGGAAAACCAAATCGGTTCTCAAGAAATGACCGGTGCTTACGAAAAATTATTATTATTATAAAGTAACTCCAAAACCACCTGAATGCATATGATCAAGAGGGAAATCAGCCTGTGTTTAGTATTTACATTGGATACCAGTTTCAAAATCACTGATTTATGTGTGAACTGGTGCAGAAATTCTATAAACTCTGCTGTTTTTGATACTTGCTTTTTGTTTTGTTTTGTAAAAATGATAAACTTCAGAAAGTAAAATGTCAGTGTTGAGTAAAAAAAAAAAAGAAGAAAGAAAAAAACAGGAGAAGTTGTTATATATGGCAAAGAAAAGAAGTCCCCAAAATGGATTTGGGGTAGAAGGAAGATTCGGTTGTTGTTATTTTACATGTCATGTTGCTGAGGTCTCATTGTGCATTTTTTTTCTGTTTAGATTTGAAGACATTCTCTCATCTCCCATTGGATTATGCTCAAAGCTTTCCTATCCAATGATCCTTCTGCAACACCCTGGGCTTCCTCCACCTAAGCAGCCCTCATCCTCTCCTCCTATGTCAGTGGCCACCAGGTCCACGGGAACCTTACAGCTTCTACCACAGAAGCCTTTTGAGCAGGCAGCTTCCTTGCCTCTGGCAGGGGAAGAAGAGTTACCTAAAGGAGGAGAGACAGATTCTGCCCTGGAGGAGCTGTGTAAGCCCCTGTACTGCAAACTCTGTAATGTCACCTTGAACTCAGCACAGCAAGCTCAAGCACATTATCAGGTAAGGGAAAAGAAGAAAATTAAGTTTTGAGTGGGGTGAAAATTTCAGGCTCTGCCTATTTTACAATTGTCCCATATAACCAGATGTGACCAAATATGCCTGGAAAATGTGATGGCATAGAAAATAAATATTAGTTTGTTTCACTAAAAGCATAATGTTCCTATTTTACACATAATCATCATTTTTTTTTTACAATGGGTCTCTCTCCTACTGTAAGATGTCTGTTGTTTGATAACTTACTTTATGAGCAAATATAAATTCTACTGTGGCAAACTCCTGGGGAATGCCTGGACATAGTCTTCTCTTTCCCCTACAGTATCATTTTACACCTTCATGTGTTTATTGACAGTGATGGATGTTTTGGGTAATGGATAGGAAAATCTCACTTTAGTGGATTATAAGATTTAAACTAGATAAGGAATGAAATCAATTGTACTTTGTGTGTGTGTGTGTGTGATTGCTAGTTGGTAAGATTCATAATTAGGGGAAGCATGGTTGCTCATACCTATAATTCCAGGTACTATGGTGGTAGAGATAGGGAGGATTATGATTCCAGGCCAGTTTTGGCCTAAAGCTGGTGAGATCCTATCTTAGCAAACAAGCTGTATATATGAGTGATGGCACATATGTATAATCCCAAGTACTGGGGAGGCGTAGGTAGGAAGATGGTAGTCAAAGATGCCCCAGACAAAATATATGAGATTTTATGTGAAAGACACCCAAAAGCAAAAAGGGAATATGTTTAGAATCACTGAAAACAAACCCCATTACTGTCAAAAGAAAAAGAACAAAAATAATTTCTGCTCTCAATGATGTGAATAAATAAATTTGAAAAACAAAGAAATAGAATAAACTCTGTTTCTCTAGAATAATTAATTGGAGAAGGTAAAAGAGAAGGACTGTCACAGGGGAGAAGACAAACAGTGAAACAAGATTAAAAATAGAGAAAAGAAGGAGAAGCAAGTTGGGATTAAAGTAGAAATCAATTAAAAGTGAGAAGTTTGGATATAATAAAGCAAGTTTCTAAGAACAGAAGCAAAGAAATAACTAAGAAAAATGATACTAGGGGCTGGGAAGGTGGCTCAGTGGTAGAGTACCTGCCTCACATGCATGAGGCCCTGGGTTCAATTCCTCAGCACCATATAAGCAGAAAATTCAACTGGAAGTGGCGCTATGGCTCAAGTAGTAGAGAGCTAGCCTTGATCTGAAGAGCTGAGGGACAGTGCCCAGGCCCAGAGTTCAGGCCCCAGGACTGACAAAAAAAAAATAATGATACTAGTAACTGTTAAAATGAAGAAACAAATTGAAGTAGTTTAAGTATAAAAATAGAAGAACAATATTAAAAGTATTAAAGGAGAAAAGTAATCTTTGCATTTTAACTTGGATTTCAGTAAGGTAGAAATGGTGAAGATGACAAAATGTAATTCAAAATAATTGGCAACCAGAGAGTAATTATATAGCCTAGAGACATGTCTTTCTTTGTTAAAGAAAGTGTTGATTGCCTTAAATAATATTATTAAAAGCTGGGTGCTTGTGGCTCACACCTGTAATCCTAGCTATTCAGCAGGCTGAGATCTGAGGATGGAGGTTCAAAGGCAGCCCAGGAAGGAAGTCTGTGAGACTCTTACCTCCACCTAACTACCAGAAAACCAGAAGTCAAGTTGTGGCTCAAAGTGTCAGAGTCTTGAGTAAAAGAGCTCAGGGATAGTGCCCAGGACCCAAGTTCATGCCCCAAGAATGACAATGTAGTCTGGTTTGTGGTCAATTGGATATATGCCTGTGAGTGGGATTGTTGGGTAATAGGGACTCTATGTTTAGTCTTTTGAGGAACCTCCATTCTGCTTTCCTGAGTGGTTGAACAAGTTTACATTTCTTTTTTCTTCTTTCTGCTTATGTGGTGCTGAGGATCAAACCCAGGGCCTCCTGCATGCAAGGCAAGCGCTCTATCACTGAGCTAACTTCCCAGCCCACAAGTTTACATTTCTACCAACAGTGTAGTAGAGTTCCCAATGATGCTTATTGAAATCAACTCTAAGAAATGGAAGCAAGAGGGTTTTTTTAATTGTACTGTTTGCAATTCTTTTTTTTCTTTTTTCTTTCCTTTTTCCTTTGGTTTATTCTCTTTTGTCACTTTTTGATTTCTGTACCCTTCATCTATTGTATAGGCTTATCCGATTTGAGGAGGGGAAGGGGAAGCTCAGAAATGGTGGGACAAAGGTTGAGCCAATTCAGCATTGAAACCCATATGGGTTGTTGGTGAATGAACTATATAACTTGAAGGTGGTGGGGAGGGAAGTCAGGAGTTGAAAAGCTGGGAGAGAATGAGGGAGGAGGTAACACTGTTTCAAAGGAAGTCTACTGGGCTGGGAAGGTGGCTCAGTGGTCGAGTGCTTGCCTTGCATGCATGAGGCCCTGGGTTCGATTCCTCAGCACCACAGAAGCAGAAAAAGTCAGAAGTGGCGCTGTGGCTCAAGTGGTAGAGGCTAGCCTTGAGCTGAAGAGTTGAGGGACAGCGCCCAGGCCCAGAGTTCAGACCCCACAACTTCCCCCCCCCCAAAAAAAAAAGGGAAATGTACTCATTACCTGACTTATGTAATTGTAACTCCTCTGTACGTCACCTTTACAACACAATTTTAAAAACTAAAAAAAAATGAAATACTTAAAATATTTTGGTGATTTTGTTTAGTCTCAACCCTTGATTCTAGCTCGTTTTAGGTATTTTCTGATTTCATATCACCTTGTCCTACCTATCCTACCTTAAGCCTGCATTGTACTTTTTAATTGATAGTGATTTTATCAAGGCATAAATTCATTAATTTATCTATATGCCAGATAAAAATGGTCACTGGTAATGTGCTTGAAACACCTTCACTGGAAGTGATATATTACTGTGATTACATTACCCAAATCTTTTGTCAGTTTATTCCATTGTTGAAACCTAAACATTAGATTGATAACTTAACATTTCCAAACTGGGGATGTTGTATCAATGACCCAGGTACATCTGTAGTCATCCTACATACAGTTTTCTCCAGGACTTTTTTTTTTTTTTGGTCCTGATATTTGAATTTAGGGCTTGGACAGAAAAGTCTCAAGAGTCATTTTTTTTCCCAATTAACTAGTAAAATACTGGAATTAGAAGTGTGGCTCAAATGGTAGGGCTAGAGCTCTTGAGAGCAGAAAGCCAAATGAGGGTGGGGAAGGAGAGAGAGACAGAGACAGAAACAGAGACAGAGACAGAGGCAGAAACAGCAACAGAGAGACAGAGATTCTAATAGTCCTTACTTGTGTGTTTTAGTTCCTCAAAGTCGTATGTAGGTTAGTATGTTTTGTATGTAGATTATGACTTTCAAGTATCTTCTTGTTTCTCCTTTTGGTTTTGATACTTTTTTTTAAGGGAGAATAATCTTATGCCTTTAAACAATGATTAGCATTTTAACAGATTTAGGAAGATATGGGCCCTAGCAGGAGAGAAGTGCTAACAGAGTAAAACAAATTAAGTTAATTAGCTTTTCAAATCCCTCTCTTTATAAAATTCACTGATTTCCTTTTTGATTTGAATTTGTTCCATATTTAGAACTTGATTTATTTTGTAGCTTTCTGTACTCCCAGGAGTTCTTAATTGCTTTTTTTTTCTTTTCCCTCTTGTTTTTATGTGATGTTTATCATAGGTTCATTCCTGTTTCCTCTACCAAGCCCAGTAATTTTAGCTATCATGTTGAAGCCTTTTATCTTCAATGTCTTCTCAGGCCATTTCAGATGCCTGCCCTCTGATTTTACTGTACAGCTATCAACTTTCTACTTTTCTTTATTGCTATTTGGGTTGGATTTTCACTTTTTAAATGTACTTATTTTCTTGTTTTAGTTTATTCCATCTTGTTTTGTTGGAGTGTATCTTCACATTACTTGAAAAAAGAAAGAAGAAATATAAAGTGTACATTGCAAATACGTCTCAAATAAAATGGGAGATAGTGGGAAAACTGATCTCTAAAACAAAATTCTTCCATTGTGTTCTCATATTTGGCAGTTCTGTTTTACCTTGAGATTTGTTTTCCTCAGAATGTTAAAGACTGTGTAAACCTTTAAAAAATCATATAATGTTTCTGAAAAGAAACCTTACTCTGGTTCTGATTCTTTTGTAGGTGACCTGCTTTAATTTTGTGGCCTTGATTTTTCCCCCTCCTCTAAGCGATTAGGCTTGCTTTTTTTTATCTGGAGTTTGAAATTTCTCATTGGTGAATGTGTCTATGTCTGGTTTTCTAGTTTTCTTTTCTTCTGGTTAACATTAGAAGATTCATCAGTTTGTACATGCCTAATCCTGTGAGGTAGGGGGATTTTTTTTTTCCTTTATTTTTTTGTTGGTTGTGGAGCTTGAACTCTAGGCTTAGGCGCTGTCCCTCTTCAGGTTCTTCAGCTCAAGGCTAGCGCCCTATCATTTGTGCCATAGCACCACTTCTGGTTTTCTGGTGGTTTGTTGGAGATAAGAGTCTCATGAACTTTCCTGCTCGGGCTGGCTTTGAACTGTAATCCTCAGATCTCAGCCTCCTGAGTAGCTAGGATTACAGGCGTGAGCCACTAGCACCCAGCTCTTTTATTTCTTAGATAATATAATCTCTACTATTTCTTCCTCTGGAAATATTATCTTATCCTATATTCCCTGGTTGTCTTCTTCTTTTTCTCCCCCAGCTTTACTGAAGCATAATTGGTTTTATATATTTTTTTCTTTTATGAAGTAAGATGCCGCTTATTTATGAAGATACATTCTAAGAAGTATGAAATCTTAGATACTACTAATACTTCTAATATGTAATACTACTAATACTTCTAATATGTAATACTACTAATACTAATAATACTACTACTAATATGTAATAGTACTAATACTACTAATATGTAATATGGATATATACAAACATACACACATTTAATGCCCTTTCAAAGCACTTAGGCAATATATGCATAGTTTTGCAGCTTGAAATGTGACAGCAAAATGAGCATAG